GGATTTGTGCTCTTGTAAAAAAAAAAAAAAAAAAGATTGTATCAATAAACCAAGATCCATACTAATGCAAAGTATTCATTTCTATATCATATCCCCTTTTAAATATAAGCAAATTTTTATAAACAATCATTTAGGGAATTTGGGTGTAGTTCTCTCCAAACCACTTCCTGCTTTTTGTTGGGTAAAGTAACTTTGGGTTTTGCAGAGACCTTTCAGGGGATCTTGTTCCATCAAACCACACTAGCCTGGAAGGAATCTACAGATTCTCATCCTCTGTGGAAACAAAAGCAGAACCTCTTTTCCAAAGCAACATTTCCTTAGTAAAATATATGTTGATTTCACTTAGCAGCCCATACAATGAAATGTCTCTCTTACTTAGCTCATTCACAGTTAAAAAGTCAAAGAAAACACAATAATATACATAATCCAGACACTCTGTGTATATCTTTATGTGGTTTAATTTTCTTTACTCCTTTAATCTATGACTGTCTGTATTCTTTCTCTTTAAAGATTTTGTTTTATATTTTTAAATGATTTATTTCTTTTTATAACTCTCTATTCTCTTTTTATTCTATTTCCCAAGCCTATGTACGTTTTTTAAAAGAAATACAGTATGTCTCCTTTAGAGGTCTTTTATGTCTGAATCTGTCCTATTGTGTATCTGAAATCCTTTTCTGACAAAAAGCATTTGAAAATGGTAAACAGTGAGGCTGCTGAGGCCACAAATACTGGCTCCACCTCTCTTGGCCTGTTAAAATGGCAGAGGTAGTTCACTGCCAGCTCTGGGACCACCAGGAGGGAGCCACACTCACCACCTCATCTCTGGTAACCAGTTGGCACATGCTGCAACCAAGTAATTTGCAGCATGCTGCCCACAAACTCCATTCAAGTGCTTGGCCTCCTAAAAGAGCCAGAGTTTGTGCTGCCAGCATGAACCAGAAAGCCACTGTTTCTTATGCTGCGTCAGTAGGCCTTCTCTTAAAGAAGCAACAGTGCCCTTGCTCACCACCAGCAAACAGAGCCCATCCAAAAACAATGTGACTAGCAAGAAGCTGCACCAAACTCTGTAATTTTGTGTCTAGAATTCCTTTTCAAGCTCTCTCATGTTATATGAGGACATAGTAGCCCACGTTGGGTGCCATTCTGTAGGAAGAGGTTGCTTGTTTGTTTCCCGGCCACCCAGACCTGAAATAATCACACAAAAAACTGTATTAATTAAAACACTGCTTGGCCAATTACTTAGGCATATTGCCAGCTAGCTCTTATATCTTAAATTAGCCCGATTTCATTATTTTGTATTTTACCATGAGGCTCATGGTTTACCGGCAATCTTCCGGCAGGCTCCAGCAGCCATCTTTCTCCTTAGGTAGCTACATGGCATCTCTCTAACTCTACCTTCTTTCCCCCTTTATTTCTGCTTAGAATTCACACCTTGTTCTGTTCTGCCCTGCTATAGGCCCAAGCAACTTCATTAATAACCAATGTTAATAAACCATATTCACAGCATACAGAGGAGAATCCCACATTAGGCATTATCCTTTGAGGTGTGGTCTTTCATGTTCTCAGTGACAGGCTCACTGTGTTTGTGAAAGGAAAACATGAAGAGGTGCTTGAGTGCTCAGGGTTGAAATCACATCAAAGAGGCCACCATGTGTGGTGACTTCCCTGGTAATCAGGTAGAGAATAGCACTAACAAGGAGAAGCTACAATGGTCACAGGTGATAGGGGTTCCATTTTCTAAGAATTTCAACTCTGTGATGGTACCCACATGTGTAATGTGATCGACATGTAAGCTGGCTCCTCCAGAGAGTGGACCAAGAACCACAGATGACTGTCTCACATCTGTTGGGTTGTACATTAAATATTTTTTTTCATTGCTCTGATAAGGAACAACAGGAACCAGGAGTTTATTTTGGCTTATGGCTCAAGGAAGTACAGCTTGATATGACAGGGAAGGCGTGGTGGCAGAATGAGAGATCTCAGCACATCCACCACCAAGAAACAAAGAGCAATGAATGCCAAAGCTCCTCTTTCATTTGCTTTGTCTCCTTCTCCTCTCATCTGGGACCTCAAACCATTTAGGGGCTTTTATTGCCTAAATCTAATCTAGAAAACCTCTCACAAATATGCCCAGAGATGGGACTCAAATTGACCATTAACATAAACTGTCACAAGCCTACCAAAACCAAACTGCCCCTCACCCCACCCTGAGGGAATCTGGAGCTCCAGGTGCCCCACGAGGCTGATGTAACTACATCCATGCTGAGGCTTTCGAGATTCATTTCCCTAATAAGAGGGGTAAGCACAATGCCAGTTGTTTACATCGTTGTGACCCTGATAATGGTTTTTCAACATTGTATATGTTACACAGGATTGGTCAGTAAGGATTTCCTTAAGATTGTCAAAACATTGGTAGACATGCAACAGAGTCAGAAATACACAGAGAGGTAAGATTTGAGGTAATTATAGACCAGCCTGCCCCATTTTAAGATTAGACACCATCTTGTTACAAGGTCAAAATAAGTTCATTTCTATATTTTCTTAAACTTGGGTTTGACTGTGTCTTGACCCATTTTCTGAAATTTGACATCTTCCACACTCTATTGCCTGACCTCCATCCTGATAAGATGTTCTGCAAAATAAGTTTGAGATGTTGTGCCAAGTTCCTATATAACCAAAATTCCTCCTGAAAAAATCCCTCAACCCTTCAATACCCTAGCCTTGCAGTTTGGGAGCTATATAAATCCTACCTTCTCCTGTGTTCAGTGCTGTTCTTTCAAACCCTACTTTAGGGAGACAGTCCTGTCTGGCAGAAAATAAAGTTTTGCATAATCAACTCAAGAATTTGGGCAATAGTCTTTAATTCTCATTTGGTGGGATTAACAGTAAAAGGAAAGATGTAGAACACAGAGATGTAAAGAGAACACAGAGAAAAGAACAAATGACAAAGGTGTATGCCAGGCTCTCCAGCAGAAAGAGTGGGGGCAGAGCCAGACCTGCCAGACTCTACTTGAGGTTGAATGGGATCATGAGTGTCTCAACTCAAGCACTCCCCGCTGGCACTAGGGAGAAACACACCCACTGAACCGGGACTCTGTCCAAGCAGAAACTCGTCTATTGGTAACAAACAGGGACTTATATAGGGCTGTGATAAGGGACAGAAAAGCCTGGGATGAGCCAAGGCAAAGAAAGGAACAAGGGCCAATAAAACTTGATGGGGAAGCTCTGTTAACCAATCAAGCCTAGTTAAGACATGGCTACCTGGAACCCAGGAAGAAAACTGGGATGAACCAGGTGCACGTTCTCTCTGCACAGTTCATGCCGGACACAGAGGAAGTCATACTCCCCATTCTTGTATCGTGAGTTTCCCATTGTAACCATTAAAAATATGATTGTTATACTTAAGCTGGCCTGGTTATTTCCCATGTCGAGCTCATTCGCAACAAAGACTCTGTCACGTTAGCAGTGGCTAAGCAGAGGTGGGTCTAGATCGGGTAGCCTGAGACAGGTCTCCAAACTCTAGCTAGGCTCAGGAAATTACACTAGGCTTCATTCCTGGGCCTCATGAGGCCCAACAGGTGTAAACAGAGAAAAATGGAGATAAAGGCTCTGCAATGAAACAGACAAAAGAGGAACAAGAGAGAGATGAGAGAGTACACCATAGAGACAAGTACAGGGATGAGGAGATGCAGTGTAGAGAGGAAGGGTAGACAAAGGTGACAACTGAGGAGAGATGATTCTCACCAACTGTATCTAGTCACTTCTGAAACCAGCCCCAGCTTCCTCACAATATCAACAAAATAAGATTAAGTTGGGTGTTTATCATTTGTAACCACAAAAAATTACTGTTATTGTTGACTGTAATCTTTAAAAAAATCAAAGTGAGCCCCAATCAATGTGACTTCACAGGACACATTTGGAAGATTGGCGATGAGTCACGGCATATCCGTCTCCCAACAATCCTACCATGTTTAGTTGCACTGTCCTCACCAACCTGAAAGATGCTGGGACAATATGAGAACAGCACACAGAACAGCAAAACTATGAGCCATGAAGATGTGACAGTAGGGTCCTGTCTCCTCAGCCCACCCTTCTTTGAGCCCAGGATGCTTCCGATCACCTTTGTAGCAGAAACATGTACTTCTAGCCAGTTTGGCTTCGTCACTTTGTCCCATACCACTCCCACTCACCCCTGCTCAGTTAAGGAGATTCAGGATACATAATTCATAATTGTGTTTAATTATGAAAAAGAGACAAATGTTTTCAGTGCATCTCTTCAGCAACTTCGTGGGACAGTGGAAACAGAAGGCCTGGGGTCTGAGTAGATCATGCTGCAATACACAGAAGGACTCTGGAATCAGTCCAGGAGCAGAGCAAAAGACAGAGCCTTGGGTAGTCAAGGAATCACAACTGAGCTGGCGGGTATGCTGGAACCATGCTAGACTCTGAATCAGAGAGGGACAGGCACAGATGGAACCAAGGGCAGGGACAGGCCCTACAGAGTGACACCCAACTCAGCCAGAACACCAGGAATCACTGTAGGAGCCCTGTGGAGACAGAGAGAGGGAGTGGTCACAAAAGGTCCCCTGGAGATGCCTGACTCTCCTCCTGGATTCTGCTGAGTTATACAAAGAAAGCTGTGTCCAGGCCATGGCACCACCTTCCCCATCACCTGTGCAGAGGTAAAGACAGCTAAAGGGGGCACAGAGCTCCACAGGACACAAACGTGTGGGAGGTGGAAGAGAAGCCACCAGCCCCAGGAAACATGAAGGATCTGATCATTTTTGGTAAGTCAAAGGAATCCATCTCCTCTGCAGGACTGTCAGCCTCTTCTGCCACTGTCAATATCAGTGGGCACAGAGCTCCACAGGACATAAACGTGTGGGAGGTGGAGAGAAACCACCACCCCCAGAGAATATGCAGGATCCAATCTTTTTGGTAAATCAGAGGAATCCTCTCCTCTACAGGACTGTCAGCCTCTTCCCACCACTAACAACGTCCATGACCATTGGCCTCCAGTGTGGGGCACAGAGCAGGCAACATCTTGGTGCCTAACCTCAAGACATGGCTCAGGCTTCACTCAAGACACTGCTCGAATGATGTTAGCAAACTCCGACTCAGGAACAACCTCAGGAGCATCCTACAGACACCAGCTATGACACTCCCAACTCCACAGCAGAGACAGGCTATGAACCAGGCCTATGTCCAGTACACCTGTCTCATACCCTTCCCTCGCACCCACACACCTGCCCACTACCCACAGATAAAGGCTGAAATATTACCTGCTGCAGGAGGCCCACGGGGTCCTACAAAAGGAAGTCACAGAGAGTTCTTGTTATTAAAAACAGGGCTCTCTCACACAGCCCAGGGGGCAAGTGAACAGTGCAGCTTAGCTGAAGCTATTCTCTCATCATCTGTGTTCACTATGACCCTGAGCAGCCCTCCTCCCCCGCCAATGAATGAAGCTGCCACCAGAAGGAGGGAAAAGCAAGGCCCATGCTATCTCACTGGTGGAAGCTTCTGGAAAGGAGGCAGTTAGACAGTGGTGGACAATGACAGAAGCCCCAGGATGAGCTCTGCATGGTTCTGTGGTACAGTCACACAACCAGTAAAATCAGATTCCAGTGTCCCCCCTGGGGTCTCCTATACTCTCCCACCCCAGCCCAGCTCCTCCCCTCAGCACAGCCCACCACCCCAGTGTCCCAGGGTCCTCACCTTTCTGACTCCTGTGATGGACGAAAAGGCCCAGCCCGAGGAAGATGAGCCCCAGCACAAAGCCCCCGATGCCGCTCAGCATCTTGCTCTGGGCAGACTCGGACTGTGCACCTGGGGAGCAGAGCCTAGGTGTCAGCCTTGTCCCCACACATCCCAACAGCCCTGACTGAGAGCCTAGAGTTCAGCCTGAGTCATATGAGGTGCAGAGCTGGGTGGACCCGGACTCTGTTCTGACTCTATCCAGAGAAGGAAGGGCCAGATGTGAACACAGTGGTGAGTGAGAGCGGCTAAGTGGATGCTCGCAGACACAGCTATAGCCTTGGGTCAAAATACCCGGTCACTAGCTGTCACTGTCAATTCCTCTGGGTGTTAGGGACGAGTTCCCAGTGTGTGCAGTGATCTCCCAGAACTCCTGTCGGGAAAGGCTATAAGGTCAGGGTTCTCCTGATGCCCTTACTATGAGACAAGAGATCTAGTTTCCTGTGATTCTCAGCTCAGTAGTGGAATCAGACTTTGCAGGACAAGTGACAGGATGGGTGGCACTGGAGGGATGGGATAGGTGACTTTGGAGGGGTAGGGTGATGTCATCATAGGGATGGGGTAATAACAGCAAACAGCCCAAATCATGTGGGGCCCACAGTGGAAGAAAACAGTTTCCCTTACTCCACTCCACAGTGACAGGGCTCTGCAGGCTGGGGTGCTCCACGTGGCAGGTGTAGACGTCTCCCCGCTGAGGGGTCATCTCCAGCATCACCAGGACCTGGTAGGTCCAGTCCCCGTTCTGAATAAGCTGTGTGGACTCAACTCCCTCCGTCTCCTCCTGGCCATTCCGGAACCAGCGCACTTTGATGTGGGCCGGGTAGAAATCTGACACCGAGCAGACCAGCCTGTTGTGGTGGTTGAGGACCTCCATCCTGGACAGGTAGACGGCCACCTTGGGCTGCTCTGGGGGAGAGATGAGAAAAGATGGTGAGTGAGATGGGGGCACGTAGAGGGTCCCCATGGGGAAGAGGCAGGTGGGGATGCCTGGGCCTGAACTCTAATATTAAATGAAGACCAACTCCACAAATATAAACTCAGCAGTCACTAGGAAAAGAAGAGTGAGTGGCCCTGCTCTTGCATAACACGAAAAACTGGTTGTGATTTCTTCAAGTTTACAATTTTTGAAGAAAAAAACTTTAAAAATAACTCCAGTACATTACTTCCTTCACTTAGACTGACATGCACAATCGCACAGACATCTTTCCTAACTGACTTTATATATACATCATGCCAGCTACACCAGAAGCCTGCTGGCTGTGTGCCCTCATCCCTTCAGGGTGAAAACAGCATACATACTTAGTGTGTTCTCTGAATTGAGGACACGCTAGATCGCTCATTTTCTCCCCCTTCCCATTTTCTTTCCATAGTCCAGTGTGTTAGTTACTGCTGCCTTCACTGTATTCCCTTGCTGTGAAGAATTTAACTGTCAGAACTTAACAACGGACTGTTTCAGTCAAATAACAAGGTTACCCGAAAAGCATAAGAAACCTTGAGTTAACCATTCATATATTAGTAATGTATGATATTAAATCTGAACACGATGCTTCTTTAACATGCCTCCAAGGGGCTCTCGGAGTGTCAGGGAGTGTGCTGAAGAGGAAATGAGCCAAGGAATCCCCAATGTGTATGGGGTTCAGCTTGAATAAAAGCTTCAGAGAGCATCCCACCACTGTCCCCGAGAGGGGCTAAAGTAACACACATGGCAATGATTCATCAAGGATAGAGCAGGTCCCCCATAAAATGGAGCCAGGATCCTTTAAAGAAACTGCTAGTTCTAGGGTTGGGGTGGTAAAGTGCAGCCACCTCCCCTCAGGAAAGGAAGCCTGGGGGCTGGAGAGAACTGGTGGTTAGGATACTTGCTGCTCTTGTAGAGGACCTGGGTTCAGTTCCCAGCATCATTCTCTCAACTGTCCGGGCTCCAACACCAAGGCCCTCTTCTCTCGTTTTTAGGACTTTCCCCTCAGATTTTGTATCACAAACTTTTAGTATGATCCAAGTCAGCACAGTCTACTTTAAAGCACAGAGAATGTAACAGTAAAGGCTTCGGGTCAGTGCCAGGCAGCAAACAACCTCACAAGACAACCCGGGCCGCAAATGGGCAATCAGGGAAACAGAATAGCGGTAAATAACTTCTCTGCCTTAAAAGTTAAAACACAACGTTACAGGATCATGGCCTTTCCCTTGTTTAATTTCCCTGCGTTGCCGCTGGGTGGGCTGCACAGGGCAAAGAGAAAGGTGAGGATGGAGAGAGACTCTGTTTACCCACTCCACTGGGTGAGGCAGGATAAACGGGCAGGAGGCTGTCGCAGCTCCTCCCGCTGGGAACCCTGGTTGCGGAGTCCTCTCCGACCCCTGCCCACGCCTCCCGCGAACCCGCCCTGCGCTCACCAAACCGCCGCAGGGAGGTGAGGAGCATCGCCTTGTAGTTGTGTCTGCACACCCTGTCTGCGTCGGCCCGCGTCTGCTCCAGGACGTCCTTCCGGCTGTTCAAGTCCGCGGCTATGCCCCGCCCCAGCTCGGTCACCGCACGGAACTCGCCCACGTCGCTGTCGAAGCGCACGACCTCCTCCTGGTTGTAGATGAATCTACACACAAACCGCATGTGCTGCGTCCCGTTGGTGTAGTAGCACTGGCACTGTAACTCGTACACGAAATCCCCTGCGGACGGACGCGGTCAGCCTGGAGCGGCGCGGGCAAGGGGAGACCCCGGAGCCCGCGATCTGACCCCGCGCGGCGCTTCAGGCTGGGACGACGCAGTCTCTAGGGACCTCGGAGCCGCAGGACGGGCGGACAGGAGGGGGCACCCGGCTTAGAGGGGTCAGACTCTGACCCGCCTCCCCACCTCAGTCTTTTCCTTCTGAGTACAGAAGAGCTCAAGAGAGGGAGTCTAGCGACCAACTCTTCCTAACAAGAATATCCCCGGAAGCACCAATTGTACTTAGGGTTTTTTTGTTTGTTTGTTTGTTTGGTTTTTTTATCGTTGTTGTTGTGGCTCCAAAGCTACACAGAGAAACACTGTTTAGAAAAACAAAGAAAACAGCAACAACAAAATTTCTTTAAAGAGAACATTCAAAGTTGGGTGGGGTGTAGAGGGTCTGGGTGGAGTTTTGAAGTGGGGTGAATATGATCAAAATACACTGTACGAAATTCTCAGAACTAGGAAAGAAAAATACCCCAACAACAACCACGTGAGATTCTCTCCAGCCTGCAAAGGGTCCTGACCTCCCCGCCACTAGGGGGCTTTTATTCAAAGAGAGAGCACCTGCTGGAAGACAGGTGCCCTCAAGGCCTGCCTGCTTGGGCATTGACTCAGCAGAGGATCTTTTTGTTTGGTTTGCTTGTTCTTGTAGGCGGAGTTTCTCTGTGTAACAGCCCTGGCTGTCCTGGAACTCACAGAGTGGAGCCTCTCAAGAATAACCGGAAAGGGAAGTTAAACTGCGCACAGGCATTCGCGGGGCGGGGGCTCTGTATGAAGTAGATAAAGCACCCCCGTCTCTGAACTGAGGGATCTCCCGTGTGTATCACAGATTTCCCTTCTATGCCTGACTTTTTCTACAAGAGCATCACTGACCCGTGTTTCCCCATCTCGGGATCCAGCATTTCCTCCAAACAAGTAGCTGGGTGTGGGGGTATCTGGGGTGGGGTGGGGGGCTGCTATGCCAACCCTGCTGTTTCCTCAACTATAACCCCCTGTTCCCTTTTTCCTATCCTGGGTATTAGATTTAAACTCTGTCTCCTCCTACTTCAATATGCTGCCTCAGCTTGGGCAGTAGGCACCATCCTAACTTCAACACTAGAATATAGAAATAAGAACATAATTTCACTCTCTCTTTCAAATAAAGGAAATCTATGATGAGACTGTTTTAAAATCGGAATCTTACCACACTCCCCCTACATCCCAGCGTCCCCAGGGTCCCTCAGAACCATACCCCCAAAGTGTTGGCTCAGAGAGCCCTGCCCCGCACTTACTTGGGGAGTCTCTGCCCTCGGCCCCCGGGCTGCTCTGCACCATCAGCACCACAACTGCTGCAAGGAGGAGGCTCGGGACCTGCATAGCCATTAGAAGGAAAAGGTAATGGCAGCCACCAGGAATCACACCTGCTGTGCCCTTCAAAGAGCAGAAATCTGTAGATGTCTCTATGAGTCCTGGGTTGGTCCCAGGAGAGGAACCTATCAGCACCAGAGCTGGAGCGTGTCATCTGTCTCTAGGCAGACCTTGTTTACAAAGGCTCTCTGTGCTGTGCATGGTTGTATCTTCATAGAGCCCACTGGGTGAACATTTGAGGTGACAATTCCTCTCAGGTACAGGGTAAAGCTGTCCAAACTGCAGACTGTTTGTGTGTGTGCGGGGGGGGGGGGGGGGTGTTAAAAAGACAAAAGAGAAAAGCGAGTCAAGTTTACACAACTTCGGGATAGTTATTTCAAAACTGCTATTCTCATACTTGGGGGTTAGTAGGAGAAATAAAGAGGAGCCATGTATCAGGGGCAGAGATTGTCCTCTGTTATGTCTGACACTGAGGAGCCTCAGGTAAGGAAGCAGAGTTCTTGGGAGTCAACAAGTCACTGAACCTCTTTCTAATCTTGGAATTCTTGTAAAATGTAAACCATGCTCCATGCGCTGTACACCTAGATCTTCCTGTGCACACAGTAAAGAGTGATGTGACGTGGTTAATAATGAGAACTGCCGTGTGTGTGTGTGTGTGTGTGTGTGTGTGTGTGTGTGTTAGAAATAGCAGGTCAGTGTGTGGCCCAGATCTGCTGACTCAGGAATCTTTCTTATGCAGGAATCTATTGCATTCATGATATTCCAGTGAAAATCCTTGAGAAGTTAATTAATCCAACTTTGATCTTATGAATTCCTCTGTTGTTTAAATCCTCCACAACCATAAAATAGGTCAGCAAAGAAAAACTCCATAACTGTTTAGGACTTCTAGACATAGTCACCTTTAATTTCAACAACAAGAAGTTGAACACCTAAAGCAATAGCTTCAGGACGGCTGCTCACAGACTTGCCACACTTGCCAGCCCGAGTGTCAGTCATCAATGTCTGCTTCCAACCCTGTCTGCTCAGGTCTGCACACACTACAGAGTCTACTTATCAGTTAGCTGGAGCAGTGCCTGGCAAACACCAGCGACTAAACACTAGTCTCTCTCCCTTGTTCAATGGCGCTATCTCTATCATTTTAGATCCTAGTTAAATAGGGGACAGGACCTAAAAGCAGACTTGACCAGGGAAAGGGGAAAGAGGTAGAGACGGGGCAGCAAGAACATCCCGTGAGGGCTCTGGCAGCGCAGGTGAGCTGCAGCATTGCTGGGGTCCACACTGCACACACTGATGTAGAGAACCAGAGAGGGACGGCCCTGGGCTCCCAGCAACTGTGGTGCTCAGGGTGGACACAGATCTCAGCCCATGCAGGGAGCATAAAGGGGATCATCAAACTCAGCGTGGAACGGTTGACAAACAAACATGGTCATACAGGGACCTGAGAGATGGATGCTCTCGGTGTCCTCACCCCCACCTCAGACCTCCACACATAAGCTGATGGCTCTGCCTCTCCTGCTCCCTTCCTAAGGGGGAAGCGCCTCAGCTCTGTCCTGGGCTGTGAGGGAAGTCTGTCACACAGGGGATTTCCAGCTCTCCCAGGCCTCTTCACACAGGCTTTTCACCTGGCAACAAGAGCATCACCAGGAATCTTTTTCTGATTGGCTAAGATTACATTAGGAAGGCAATGCCTTGGCCTTCTGCCAGCTCCTTCATCCTAGCCCAGCCTTCTCTAGAGTCTTCTGCAGGATTTTAATCAGACACAGCATCCCTGGTTCAGCCACGTGGGTTTGGAGCAGCATCCTCTCTCTCAGGCAGAGAAAGGAGACTATGAAGACTATCATCTCTGTGAGTTCAAGGCTACCCTATTCTACAGAGTGAGTTCCAGGACAGCCTGGGCTACACAGAGAAACTTTATGTCAAAGAAGGAAAGAACGAACGAATGAACGAGAGAGGGAGGGAGGGAGGGAGGGAGGGAGGGAAGGAAGGAAGGAAGGAAGGAAGGAAGGAAGGAAGGAAGGAAGGAAGGAAGGGAAGAAAAGAGAAAGGAGACAGCAATACCAGGTTCTTTGACAGGAAACTTCCCATCAGACGTGGCGTGGTGTGCCTTAGCTTGAGCATTAATGTGGTTTTCTTCATGTTTCTGTTTTCTCAAAAGCAACAAATGCATAGAAATAGCTGTTAACAAAAACAAAACCTTTGGCAGCTTCCTTCAGACAATAGTTAATGCCTCCAGACTATGAAAACCTGCAAAAATTCAACACCAGAAAAGCTCAGGTCTTCCAGTCACTAAGTAGGAGAGTGCACTGGATGAAGAACTCTAAGAAGAAGACACACAATGACCAACAAATATATGAAAAAGTGTCCAACAGTCTAAGTCATCAGGAAATAAAAAATTAAACCTGCCCTGAGACCCTGTCTCACCCCGGTCACGACCACCAACCAGGAAACAGTGACAGCGAATGCTGGACAGGAAGGGATCTGTGTTTATGGTGGGTAGATGTGCAACTCAGTGCAGTCACCATAGAAATCAGTGTGGAGGGTTTCAAAAAGCTAAAAATAAAACTATGAAGCCTGGCTTGGTACCACACACCTTTAATCCTAGAACTTGAGAGGAAGAGACAGGAGTGTTTCTGTGAGTTCGAGGCCAGCCTGGTCTACAGAGTGAATTCCAGGACAGACAGGGACAGAAAAACCCTGTCTTGAAAAAATAAATAAATAAATAAATAAATAAATAAATAAATAAATAAATAAATAAAATAGAACTACAATATGGCCCAGCTTCCCCCACCTTTTCAGGGTGTGACCTGAAAAGGACCCAGTCCTACTACAGAGACGTCTGCAGACCATGGTTATCGCTGCACTGTTCTCAGTAGTTAAGAAATGGAGCAGCCCAGATGTCCATCGTGACAGACGGGCAACAAAGAAAACATGGTGCATAGAAATGAAATTATATTCACCCATAAAGAAAACTGAGATCATGAAGTTAGGGAAATAGATAGAGCTGGGAATTACTGTATGAAATGAAATAACCCAGGTGCAGGAAAACAAGTGGCACAGATTCTCTCTGATAGGAGGATCCTAGGTTTTAATTTTTGCATGTGGAGGTAGTAGGTAGGTTATGAAGCTAGGGAGATCACTAGAAAGGAAAAGGAGCTGTTGGATGAAGGGGGCAAAGGTACAAAAGAGGGCAGTAGAATACATGTGTGCTGGCCAGGTTCTTGTCGACCTGGTACAAGCTAGAGTCATCTGAGAGGAGGGAACTTGACTGAGAAAGTAAGTGGGCTGTAGGCAAGATGGTGAGCATTTTCTTTATTAATGATTGATGTGGGAGGGCCCAGCCCATTTGGGGTGTTATCAACCATAGGCATATAAAAAAGCAGATGGAGTAAGCCATGAGAAACAGGTCAGTAAGCAGTGTTCCTCCGTGCACCTACTTCAGCTCCTGCCTCCAGGTTCCTGCTCTGAGTTCCTTTGATGATGGACTTTTGGTTATAGTCTTTCATCACAGCAAGACACAGAAACCCCAACTAAGACATTGTGTGACATGTCAGCAATAGGAGCCACTAGAGCAGCAACCAGCAGGAGCAGAGCTGGAGGATGGGGAGAGAGATGAGGAGAAGGGTCAGCAAAAGCATACAGGTGTCAACAAGCCATAATGGAACCCATTGTTCGGCATGATAATTCAAAAACCTATTATTGACAATGGGAGTCAAGGTTTGAGAGGTTAAGGGCAATGGGTAGTGGGGGTGAGCAGGGATGAACCAGGAGACGAGTCAGAGGCTCGCAGGGCCACTGAGGCACCTGCGGTGGGAAGGAGGAGGAGGTGTGTTGAAATAAGAAAGCGGCGGAGCTGCGTCCCCAACACCCCGGCCGCTTGGCTAGCTCATGCCCAAAATAACAACACACAAACTGTATTCATTTAAGAACTGCTTGGCCCATGAACTCTAGCCCTTACAGGCTAATTCTCGCACCTGGACTAGCCCATTTCTAATGATGTGTGTAAGCACCCCAAGGTGCGCTTACCGGGAAGATTCTAGCCTAAGTCCATCGTGGGTTGCAGCTGCCTGGGAGAGCAGAGCATGGCGGCTGTCCGGTCCCTCTGGAAGCAGC